TAATATATAGGGGAAAGCAAGTTCAAACCCACAGTCTGGCTTCAGAGTCTGCTTTTTTAACCACCAAGCTATATTGTTAATTTTATCTTCTATACCTTCAAAATTGTTTACCAGACTGTATTCTTTTCATCTCTTTGTCTTCATTGGTATGGAAAGTTATTTTTATCTGCTATTTTATTTTTTGTTCTGTTTTAGATGGCTTGAAAACAAATGAAAATTTATTATCTTCCAAGACTGAAAAATCTAGTGTAAGACTTCTTGCTATCTGTTTAGTAGAATTTTGAGAACGAACAGAGAGATGAACTGAAGTTCCAACATAATGTTTTTTTTCAAGTAGTACAGTTGAAGAAAAACTACAGTTTTGATTAGGAATATGTTGCAGAAGGACTGACGTCTTTAATATATTGATTCATCTAACATCATGAAAATATTTGACTTGCTCTATTAGTAGTGTTTGCTAGTTCTGTTTAGAGCAGTTCATAAGTTTACTAATGTGTGCCTGAAATAAGTGGTACACGATGGCTACAAAAGCATTATTCTCAAATCTCTTCCCACAAACTGTTGAAACAGCACAGCACACACATGGGCTACATGTTCCAGCTATGGCTCCTTTCGAAACAGTGCTATGTTTACAGTAAGGCTTTTCCCAAGCAGAGACTGAGCATATCAAAAGTCACAGTGCTGGCCCATTTCTTCCTGAGGCAGGGTTCTCCTGATGCACAGTTTTGTGCACGGATGCCCAATTGGCCACATCAAGAGCTCTTCAAGTTGTGTTTCCGTCTGAGGCCCTTCCCAGCCAATCACTTTCTCTCTCAAGTGTCAGATTCCTGTGACAGATTAAAAGATTTCCCTGTCCTTTTCTGTCAGTTCCCTTTTGTTTCTTAAAGGCACTTCTGCAGTATGATTTTTGTACATCTGATCATGTGTCTCTCCCTCTCAAAGATTAAACTAAAGGGTCTTTTATACTTACATACGTGATAGCTTTCTCTTTCACTTTCTAATTGGTAGTGCTAATAGTTAGCGGTTGTTTTAAATGAAGTATAAAGGTTGTAGTTTAGTCAAATAGTTCCTCACAGTGATTCCATAGATTAGTGGATTAGCATGTTTGAGTTACCAAAATTAGTTTACCCAATGTGAAAGTAGCATTGTATTCGCCCTATGTGCATGAAAAGTCACTGTGTTGGGATTTATTAATAATTTCTTTACCAGATTTTAACATTGTTACTTTGAGTAGGTCACTTCATATCCTTCACATGCCTGTTGATATGGGGAAAGTGAAGAGATATCAAGAAGAACTAGAGCTAGAAATGCAGATAATACCAGGCCTTGCATAGCGAAAACTAAGGTTCCCAAGGAGGAGCTTATAAGCAGGCATATAAGCGCACAGTACACATGAGCAAAAGCACACATGGCTGTCTACCAAGGTGTCATTTGTGTGGTAAGAGTGGTATGAAATAGATTTACTTAAAATTTAGAAAAGTTTGAATGATCAAGAAATGGGATTAATGTATGGTAAGAGATTACTTCTGATCGAAGCTTTGAAACATAGCACTAAGCTTTCTTTTTTTATTTTTTTAATTTTTTATTTTAAAGAGAATAGTAAAAAAAGAATAGCAAAATACCAACAGCACAGACAAAAACAAAACAAAGCAAAACCAAAGATGATGCAGGGTTTCAAAACAAAATGATAGGAATTACCAGTGGTTGTTATATTACATATTGTTATCTTCAATAAAGTTGCTCAGAGTATCAGATGTAAGAATGCAAGATTCACCAAATCATTAAATAGAATAAAAAAATAATAATTAAAAAAACAGATGTTACAGAGTTTCACTAGACAGGATGGTACGAACTCACCAATGGTTGTTATATTGCATATTGTTGTCTTAAAATCAGTTGCCCAGATTACCAGATACAAGCCTACAAAATTGGTCAAAATAAAAAAAAATTGAAGCATTAACTGTTCCTTTCAGTAAACCACCAGACATCAGCAATACAGTTATCCAAGGTGTCCTTCTACATATTTTTTCCCTTCCTTCTTTCTTTCTTTTTCTCCTCTCATCCCAGTTGTTCCTTTTTTTGAGCAATTTCTTTCCCTTTCATATTATCTATTATATGTTTTGGGTTTTACTTACTCTTTCAGGTTCTTACAGTAGGGGGACAATGTGATGTTTACACATATGAGTCTGAGATGAGATTGCAGTAGGGAATGCAGGTATGGTGTAGAATGCCAAGAAATTTTATTTGTTCACTGATATAGCAGTTATATGTCAGCCATGTTTCATTGTTAGCACCAAATTCGAATTTCTTCCATTTTTTATAATCAGACACTTTTTACTTCTGCTAGCAGGGTGATATATAGTCCATCAGATGGCAGCTTTGATGGATTAGTGTAAAGTTTCAAATCTTGCTGATAACATTTCCAGTTGGGCAGCCTTTGGCAGGCTGTTTAAATTCTCTTCCTCTCAATTTCTTCACTTCTGAAATCATAGTTACAGTTTCTACTGCGTCTGTGTATCCCCCGGATTCAGTAAGATAATTGTGTGAAGTACTTGACATAGTACCTGGCAATTAATCAATGCCTTTTTCATACCTGTTCCTAAATTGCATGGTCTTGACAAACTGAACAGTGGCTGTGAGGCCATAAGGGGTAGAATAGTACAGTGCCATGCACATATTGCTCTGTATTCTAATAATGTGAGTATTCCCTGGCAGAGTTTCTACTCCCAACTTGCTGGGGCAGAAGCCTAGGGTTCTGGACTTCAACAAGCTTTTCAGTTTAGGCACATTTTAAATGTCAAAATCCATTGATAGCTCTTGTTGGTTAAAAGTTGTCTGGGTTTGAACGTTTTCTTTGCCATTAATAGCTGAGTGTCCTTGGACCATTTACTTTATCTATTGTGCTTTCATTCTTTCCTTTGTAAAATAGCACCAGCAATCAGACTTTCCTTATGGGACTGTTGTGAGGAAGTAAGAGTTACCACATGGCAGGTACTAAAAGTTATCTTTGGGATCTACAGCCCTCAATCAGTGCTGGCTGTGCTCAATTATTCATGGTGACTGTGTTAGATTCTCATGGCAGTTGTCACAAATAGTTGCATATCAGTGGTGCAAAATAATGCCTGCTTATTATCTTCAAGTTCTTGGGAGTCAAAAATCCAAAAGGGAACTCACTGGGCTAAAATCAGAGTATCTGCAGGACTGCATTCCCTTCTGGAGGTTCGAGAGGACTGTCCGTGTTTTGCCTTTTGTGGCTGCCTCACTTTCCCTTTTTTCTCCTCTTGTGTTCAAAGCTCATGTTACTCAGTCAAGTCTTTCTTATGTTGCTTCACTCTGATAACAACTCTTCTAGCTCTGTCTTTCACTTTTAAAGACCCTTGGGAATAGAGGGAGCCACCAAATAATCCAGGGCACTCTCCATACTTTCAGACCAATTGGATTGTTTAGTTCCATCTGCAACCTTAATTCTCCTCTGCCACGTAACTTTAAGTAATTGCCAGTTCCAGGGAGTAGGACATAGGCTGTGTTCTGCCTACTCCAACCAGCCCCTTGAAATGGGTACTTTTGACGGATCAGTGTTATTACTACTCGTAATAAATTTGCTTTTCCACCTTTTTCTCTATCTTTCCCACTCGTTTTCGCTTCTGATTATATTCTCTAACCTGCCTTACTGATCTTTTGCCTCACACTCAGTTGAGGTAATAGACACACAGTTGGAAATGTGATCCTTTCCTGTTCCTATCTTCTTACTTACATACTTACATATGTCCATTTTGTCCTTGGCCTCTGTTAACATCTGTCTCTATTAAAAGCCTGGCCTTCCTCCCCACTCCACCCATGGATCTTTAGATTCCTACAGATGGTATATGTAGTTTCTCACATACCAGAGTGTTGCTTCACTCTGAAAAGCCTTGTTCTGAACCCTTGCTACCTCTCTGTTTCCCTATCTCCCACTCACTATCCTGTCCATCTCTGACCCACTTTCAGAATCTAGTTGCTCAAGCTGAAGCCTGAAAATCCATCTTCTCGATGCCATTTCTGCCCACTTCCTCCAGTCTAAAGATCGCTGCATCGTCCTATGCTTCTTAGTGTTCATCTCAGTTGCTATCACCCCCACCAAAGCCATCACCAGCGTGTCTTGCTAAACTAGTGCTGTGGCCTCTGACCCATCCCCCTTTTCCATATGTGCCTTACTCCACTGCCTCCTCCATTCCACCACTGGAGGGATCTGTTAGTGGAATTAGGCTGTGACACATCCTGTGTCCCCTTACAACCTTGAATGACTTCTCGTTGCCTTAGGATAAAATGTGTCACTTGATGTAGCCACTGTCAGTCTGGTCTCATGTCTTGTCTCCTTTCCTCACTGTGCTCAGGCAGTCTCATGTGAGTCGGATGCTCTTAGCCGTGGAGGCTTCACATGTGCTAAGGTCATCCTGCTCTGATCTCCCTTTCTCTCAGGCCCCATACCCCTTGTAAGCTGTGAGGGCGTTCCCCTTTTGTGCACCTGTAGCTTTTCCCAAACTGAGAACAGAGCTTGGACAATTCTTTTAGGACCAATTCATTTCCTTCAGAGGTTTTTGTTTGAAAGATTTATTGATCAAATTATCACTGTAATAATGTGCGAATACCAAGAGCATCTCTTAGCAAATTACAATAGGCTAACATAATCTTAAATATTTTACTGCAAATTTGATGATGCTCGTAGTCTAGGAGAATGTAGAAATTGTCACTTTTCAGTTTTGAACTACTTGACAAAAGTCTACTGCGGCCAGGTAGAACTTGGTGATCCCTGCTCTGTACACCGTGTGAGGTATACTGATTTCCTCAGTGTTTGTGCCAAACCCTGTTTTACCAGATATATAATGATCTAAATGATTGTAGAAGAGAGAAAGTAGCGGCATAGTTACTCTATGTGTGCCAGGGTGTGACTTCCTCATGAGTTTTGCGGTGACCTTTCTTGATTACTTGACTAATACCTCCTTATGTATCTTATGTTACAGACTATTCAGACTATGAAGACAATTCCTTAGAATTTTTGGAAAGGTGCTGTTCTCCGCTGACTCGATCTTCTGGGAGTTCTCTGGCTCCAAGGAGCATGTTTACAGAGAAAACTACAGCCTATCAGTACCCACGGGCTATTCTGTCTGTTGATCTTAGTGGAGAAAGTAGGTTTAACTGTGTGATAGTTAAAACAGACTAAAGTCCTAAGTGTGGAACTGAGAATAAATGTAGTTTGTGGAATGCCTGTTTAAGCAGGACACAGGATTTACAAAGTTATTACATAAACTTATGGGGAAATCTCAACATTAGAAATTTGAGCTGCATTTAAGGAAACTAGTATCAGTGTCTGTACTAAACTTCCATAGGTGTTGTGTACATGTATTCGTATATACTTTACTACCAATTTATAAAGAGTGTTTTCATAAACATTTTATAGGTAAATAAGCTTATAGTAACTTTATGGGTTAGTTAGTGTTAAAATTTAAATCAAAGGTTATCTTTACCCCAAAGACTGCTTTTTTAACCAAATACTTATTGTTGTCTTAAAAAATATACTTTTGAGGCCAGGTGTGGTGGCACACGCCTGTAATCCCAGCACTCGGAACGCTGAGGCAGGAGGATCATTGCGAGTTCGAGATCAGCCCGGGCTGCAAAGTGAGCTCAAGGCTAGCCTGAACTGCATAGTGAGACCCTGTCTCAAAAAGACAAAAAAAAAAATACATATATTTTTTTGAGTTCCTAGTCACAGATACACCTGTGACCAAAGATAGACAGTGGTGAAGTCAGTGATTTATACATACTTAGCATTTAGGTGCCTTTATTTAGGCATTAGGCCATGCTGGGTGAAAAAAGCAGTGCAGTTGGAATCTGTTCCAGTCTCCTCTAAGTGCAGTTCTGACCGTGAAAGGTGTTAAAGGTCTTTTACCTTCTTTCTGTTACTGTGTGTGGTAGGTGAGTCTCCCTGCTCTAGACAGTGCTGACAGTGCCTTGAGAGTAGTTTCACCAAGGCAGGGACCAGAGTAAGGAATGCGAAATAAACATAGAATCATCATCCTTGGTAAAGCCCAGAGACCGGGTGGGTGGGCTCTTTTCTCTTCTGAGTGCCCTACCTGGTAGACACTACATTTTGTTTTCTTTTGCACTGTTTATTTACTCCCTGTTTGGTTCTAGGTGATTACTCCCTGGCTCACTGTGGAGAAGAGCGTTCTCTTCCCTTTAATATGAAATAAGTACACAGTACCTCTAAAATTTTAATTTTTAAAAGTTTGAAGTGGGTGTGGTGGTGCACACCTATAATCCCAGCATGCAAGAGGCTGAGGCAGGAGAAATGCAGTGGGTACATAGTGAGTTCAAGGCCAGCCTGAACTACACAGTGAGATTCTTCCTCAGAAAAAGAAAAAAAAAAAAAAACGTTTGAAGTGGGGAAAAGGATTAAGAAAAAGTTTATCCTGCTCCTCTTGGCAGGCTTTTCCAACAAATACAAGTCTCTTTTTTTTTCTTATTTGGTCTAGTGGGTCTTCACTCCAGGTATACATGATAGTCATTGCTATGGTGCTTTTAAAACATACCGGTCCTGGGCCCTACCACAGCACACAGTAAAGTAAGACTTAGGGAGGATCTCTTCAAGCTATAGCTTCTGGGTTGGAAGTCACCAAGAGCATGCATATACTGTAGACTGTCACTGTCTGATGGTGGTCTCTTGCTAGGCAGTGTTGGCGGATAAAAGTTTCTATCCAAGCTAGCGGTGGTACTAGAAAAAGAACACTTGAGAAAGGTGGAAAGAGCCATACATGTGCACGTCAGTTCTTTCTCCACCCTGCCCTTATTATGATCAAGCATCAGTCTGGGAGAAAGGAAAAAGGATGCTGATAGAGGCCGAGGTCCTCCAGTGTGAGGAAGTATCACTACCACTTGGACAGATTGTGAGAACAGTGTCTGAGCCTCTATCCAAAACTTCTGATTGCTATTAAGTGCCTAGGTGAGGACAGTGTTGCTGGTTTGGAAAGAACACTTTGAGGATATTGTCTTGGGAAATAGCGGTGATGGTTTGACAGTTCAAAGGAAACTGTCCTGTGACATTCAGTTAGAGCCATTCACTTGGTTCCCACTAGGTAAATGGAAGAGGCACTTTTATTTGCTTTCCTTAAGCAAAAATCCCTCGTTATCCTTTCACTCAGCCTCCATAATCCAGCCAAGCGTATGTTTAATGCTTGGAGCTATTCACTTGGATTTTCTGATGAATTTTGTCATTTTCCATGCCAACACTATAAATTTGAAGGCTGCCACCAAGCAAGTATACATATGTTGCACACTAACTCCTTTTGGTGATACAGTTTTCAGTTCATTATTGTGTCATGATTGCCATTTGGTACCATATGTGTGTTGTAGCAGTATTTGAAACTCTTAATCCATGTTCTACTCTATCATTATGAAGCATGAACCTTGTATTCAGGAAATCCCAGGAGAAAATACTAGTTTTGTATTTCAGCCAGTAGGCTTATGGATGCTTGAAATTTTCCACTTTAGACTGTCAAAAGCAGTAGTATTATTAATATTAGAAAGATACTCAGTATCTGATGGATATGTATCTGGCTTCTTGAATATTTTCAGATATTTCTTGACCATTATCTCATTTCTACTGACTTTCTCTAGGATACCCTAAGATCCCAAGTAAAAGGGAACATTTACTTTAATAAATCAAAAATAAGACATTCAAAAATATTGAGTCATGGAAAGTAAGCAAGATTAGAAGCTGATAAAAAGAGACACTAAGTCGTATGAAATATTATTTGTTAATTTTTCCATGGTGCTAGAGATTGAACCTGGGGCTTTCTTTGTGTATGATAAGCATATGCTGTATTACTGATCCCATTATAAAATATTTAAAACATAGATGGCATGAATTTTTGTAGTTGGAATCTAGCTAACTTCCATCTGGTCTATGAAAAGAAAATTTTCTCTCTATTGACTCCCTCCTTAGCTCCCCACAGACATTCTAAATGGCTACTATATATATCATGTTTCATTCTAAGTGCTAGGGATGTAACATTCAGTTATGTCCTGCATTATTGTGCTTGCTGCACTGATTCTGATGTAGCAAAGGGAGATAAATGATAAGCAGGGGAAGGAACAAATGGGACTGTGACTAGAGTCTATAGAAGTGAGATAGAGTCACCTTTATGGTCAAAGTTCCCAGTGCAGTAGCCTCCATTTCAGAAGCGTACAGCAGTAGCGATAATGTCACCTACCATGTGTCTTGTGATGACACAATTTTCCCAAAATTCCTTCTTAAGTATGGTATTGCAAAATCTTCTTCAGTGTCCAGTCATTTTTTCTCTGATAATGCTATTAATGAAGGCTCCCTTATGTGTATCTTGCTTTACTTTTCTCTCAATAGTCTAAATAAAATGGTATTGTATCAACTCAGTTATAAACATAAACTGAAAACCTATATTTAAATCAAATTGTCTGTCATGGTCATCCATATACTGTAGTATCTGGAATATGCTTCTTAATTTTTTAAAGACTTTTATTTAAATTAAATTAATTTGTAGCAATTCCCCCAAATGAATGTAATTGCTGTGTATCACAAGCATATGCTAATAACAAAATTAGAAAACGAAAGAAGTTGAAAAAAAATCTCACCTACTTTAGAGTCAGGTGGTCAGTATTCAGTTGATTTTATGACTGCCTGGCTGTATTCCTCAACCGAATTAGAGTGCTTCATTTAGTATCTGGTGAATATCAAGTGCAGTGGTAATTAATGCTACTAATACTACTAGGAAGATTATTAGTAGTAGACCCTAGGCAGCAAGCTCTTTCACTTATTTACAGTTGTTTATCTCTGTGGTTTAAATAATAAAGCCTGCTCTTTCTTACAACCAAAACGGCTAATTTTTGTGAAAACACTGAATCAAAAAGGTAGTATTTGTGAAAATGTATGAGAACTATAAAAATTTAAATTATTATTATTAGCTCTGTAAACCTAAAGACAGGAGATATTTACCATGGTACATACATTAGGATGGAATCCATCATAATTACCTAAGCTTCAAAAATAATGTGTTTCTTTGATCAAAGGCAAGTGGTCTATTCATATTTATTTTCTCCCTGTGTAAATTCTTAATAGCTTAGAACCACTTCCCATAACTCCTTTCTTTCTAAACAATGACATAAGAATGGAGAAAAATGTACTGAGTATACTTTTCATGTATCTTCTAGACTTATCAGATATGGAATTCTTAGATGATTCTTCAACAGAGAGTTTGCTTTTGAGTGGGGATGAATACAATCAAGACTTTGATTCAACTAATTTTGAGGAATCTCAGGATGAAGACGATGCTCTTAATGAGATTGTGCGATGCATTTGTGAGATGGATGAGGAGAACGGCTTCATGATTCAGGTAGTCTGTTAGCCTCTCTGCCCTGCTGTATCAAATTATTCCAGGTGCTCAGCAGGTGGATCAGAGTGTGTTCCCTTTTCATTAGTCATCTAACTGAAGACAGACTTCCTAATTTATTGTCAGGTTTCATATACCAGTGTAAAGATTAGGAAATCTCTTCATCAAATGAAGCAGACAGTTATTATAGTCATTTTTGCTTTACTAGGGTGTTTTAGTTTGAGGCCTTCAAACTAAAACTCTGTAGGGCTATTAAAGTGGGTGAGTCTCACATTGAAGGGTCACCCACACTGGTTCTTCTCCGACTGGTCAGTGTCCAGGATGCTTAATAATTAGAAGTATACAGTCAGTCTCCGTTATTCAAAGTAGGAAAGAACTCTGTCAAAATTCTCTGCAGGAGGACTATCTAAGAAAGTGAAGCATAGCCCCTTTTTTGTGATGACATAGAAGATTTAGAGATGTTAGTTATAGGAATAAAACGTTTCATTTTTATCCACTTTTTGAATAGTATTTTCAAATAAACCAGACATTTATACTTTTACCACAAGTAGCACATTAAAGGGTGACTTCTCGTGGCATTGCTACAATCTTTAAAAAAGAAATTCTGGTGTGTAGCTACTTGGGAGCTGAGGCAGGAGACCAGTCTAAGCAACTTAGCAAGGCCCTGTCAAAAAAAAAAAAATCTGTACTTTAATAAAATATTTTAAAATTTTCAGGACATGATTACAATCAATTGGGAATAGATAAGGGAAATTCTGACATTTATGATTAAGCAATTTATCAAAACGTATATTAATAGGTGCAACAAAAGGAATTTCTTAAATATATGACTATCTCAAAGATAACATGCATCATAAGTCATGATTTGCTTTTTGTTACTTCAACTGAGAAGTGGACTGAGCGTGGCCAGAAGGTGTGCCAGCTAATTAGAAAGCAGGGCATCACCCTCACTGTGTGCTGCTAGCATGGCCTTCCGCACTGTCGTCTCCTCTGTTCTCTGGCAGTGTGAAGAGTGCCTGTGCTGGCAGCATAGTGTGTGCATGGGGCTCCTGGAGGAGAGCATCCCGGAGCAGTACATCTGCTACATCTGCCGAGACCCTCCGGGTAAGTGCCTCTCTGTGCTGACTGCAAGATGCTGAGACTTCACCATTGCTGGCGGGCTAGAGTCAGCTTCCTTCTTAGAGTTTCAAATAGTTTTTTACAGTTATGGTTTCACTCATATTATGAAGACAAGCACATTAGCATGAAAAGGTAGAGATATGGCTTTTTCCTGTTAAAGAATCAGCCTTTATCTTTTCCTGTGCATTGATTTCCATCCAGGCATATTTATGGTGATTTGAGTGAAGCAGCACTCTATACTTGCATCCCTCCTAACATGTTTTGAAGAAAAAGTTTTTGGTAATGCTATGTGTCCAGTTCATTGTCGAACAGATGAGGTCATTGCCTTTGATCCTTTATTTTACGGAGGAGGCAGCTAGGGCACAGAAAGCTGCATTCCTTGTACAAAGCAGTGGACTAGACATGGCCAACTGAGATGAAACCTGAGCCTTTTGACTCCCACTCCGTTGTACTTTCTTGTATGTTAAGAGTTTCTTCAAGGAGCGTGTTTATCACATTGACTATAATTTTAGCCTCAGAGGCACAGAGTCACTGGGTATATTCAATTAAATTGTTTCCATTCCTACAATAAGAAAAAAGTCACAGTAGGAAATGGGCATTATTCAGACCTATATGAATGTAGACACTTGTTTATTCATTCATCAACATATATTGTGGACCTTTATTCATTATTATTCGTTCGGTAACAAATGTAGACTTTTGTCCTTCATTCAGTAGCATTTATTGGGTGCTATTTATTTGCCAAACATTATCGTAAAATGATTGATTCAAACCATGTCTTTAACTATCCCATAGAATAGTAGACGGCACAGATCCATGCACATCTGATTGTAATAGGATCTAATTTCTATTAATGTTAAGGCCACAGAATGGTACAGGATTCTGTAAAGTCACAGACATGAGAGAGGAATCACTGTTTACTCAGCCAGAATTCTGTGCTTCATCCAGACCAAAACAACAGTGGTTAGTGAAAAAAAAGAATCTCTAAGTTCTATCCAACACTTGAGCTGTTTTAGAGAACAGATGACTGATATATGAAAAAATCGAAAACAGTGCACTTAGGGGTCCCTTCACAGATGTTGTTTGCTGCTGACTGCATCCTTAACAGGGTTTTTCAGTCTCCTTAGTGGGCAGGGACATGGAAAGCGTGGAGAGCATCATGCTACACCATCCTGTCTACATCTTATTTTGCATCCACTCTGGGTTCCAAAGCTTGCTATTTACTGCGTGACCTGAGTGGGGTCGCAGCGAGAGGGAGAGCTGAGGAAGTGCAGCCCTTTGTGATTCTTGTGTCAACTTCATCTGCAGGTCAGAGGTGGAGTGCAAAATATCGTTACGATAAGGAGTGGTTGAATAATGGGAGAATGTGTGGGTTGTCGTTTTTAAAAGAAAACTATTCCCATCTCAATGCCAAAAAAATAGTGTCCACACATCATCTGCTTGCTGACGTCTATGGTGTGACAGAAGTGCTACATGGCTTACAGCTCAAAATCGGAATCCTGAAGTAAGTGAAAGGTGGTGAAGTGAGGTGCCACTGTGGTGTACACTGAATGAAATCTGAAAAACAGAAGAAAATCAGTTGACTATGCAGTAGACTCTTGAATTATGAACGAACAACCTGGGTTATGACCAGAATCTTAGTTTTAACTTAATGACTAAAGTCTTGAGTTATGATCTAAATTCTGGCTGCTTGTGCTTCCAAATGGTCTTGGGTACAGATTTAAACCTTAAAGAGTTCTAGAAGGAACATTACAGCATCCTTTCCTATATGGGGTTAATTGAGAAATCCCGGGCCACTATGTCTCTAAGGACACAGATCTCCCTGTGTACAGGAGACTTTGAAGGCTGTGTATAGGAGCCTGAGCCTTCAGTTGACCACTTGAGTTAGAACCAGCCCTTGGGAACGAATTGAGTTCGAAAGTCAAGGGTCCAGTGTAAATGTAAGAACAAAGAATACAGATGGCCTTTGAAGATCCAGCGTAGCAACCTGGAAGAAAAAATAGATTCAAATTAAGGCTACTTTTTAAAAATAAGGAAAGAAGGCCAGGTGTGGTGGTGCATGCCTGTAATCCCAGTACTTGGGAGGCTAAGGCAGGAGGATCCCTGCAAGTTTGAGCCCCGCCTGGGCTGCATAGTGAACTCAAGGCCAGCCTGAACTACACAGCGAGACCCTGTCTCCAAAAAAAAATTTTTTTAAATAAGGAAAGAAAGGTTACTTTTTGGATGACAGACTGTTGCGACCTACTCTTGAATCTATGAGAGTGGTTAAAAGTCAGTATAGCATCTAGCATTTCAACCAGTTATAGTCCTTTTCTTACATTCTCATCATGTATACAAAATCAAGTTTAGTTGCTGTGTTGAACCCCTTACCTTGTCCTCCTTCAGGAATACTGTGGTGATGAAACAGATTTCTAGGCAGGCTGAGCATATTCTTTAGTCACCTCAAGATTGGTGAAGGGAGCCAGAGACCCTAGAATTCACCTCTCTGCTGTGCACCAAATGTTTTAGTTCCCAGTAGTTTTCCCTTAAAGAAAAGCTTCAAGCTCCCTATGCATCCTTGCAGAATGTGCTTCAAGGTCTTATGTTCATTCCTTCCTAAAGCCTGACAAGAGTTACTTAAAATAACAAATAAAATCCCCCATATTTTATTTAAAATTGGCTGATTATCTGGTTCTTCACAAGATTTTCTTCGTTTGAAGCTACTTGCCTTGGCCAAAAGTTTGCCCCTTTGCCTCGTTCCATCCCTTTTCCTGAGTCTCCTGCATGCTTTCCCCTGTGACTGCTAAACATCATTTGGTTCATTGCTGGCTGTCCTCTCTGGTACATTCTCAGCCAGCTGTTTAATTTCACTTCACAGTTGCTGTGCTTTCCGACTCATTGTGGCTCTAGTCTTACACACTTTCATCCTCCAGACTGCTGGAAGCATGATGTTAGTGAAAGATAAAGAAGAGCTGGTCTCTGCTTATTACAAGAGTGTTCTTCCTGTTGCCTGTAAACAGTCTGAGTTCTCCAGCATGCTCTCAGAGTCTTTCCCTGCTGCATAAATTGTTGCTGTGTTCTCAAACTTTCTGCCTGCACTAATGCATAATCCCTGAGGGCATCATGCTTTCTTACACTTAGGCTTTTTACTCACACCATGTCAGTCCTAGCCTCTTACCACTAGCCTGCCTGGCAGATGCCTTTTCAGAATTACCTGCTGAGCTATAGCCGACCTCATTTTTCTGGCAATTTAAAATTGAAAGAATTTATGTTTTGGATGAAATGTTGGAACAAATTCACTTGAATACCTTTGCTTTTGTTTTGAATCCTGACCTCCTACCCTACTTCTGAAATTTATTATGGTCTTCAACTTGTCACTAGATTGTATTTTTCTGAACTGTTGTTTCTCCAACTTACTTTTAAGAAATAAGCACCATCCTGACCTTCATCTCTGGGCTTATTCTGGGAAGCGAAAAGACCAAGATCAAGTAATAGTTGGAGCAGAAAAAAAAATAAGTCAAGACACAGTTAATATAGAAGAAAAAAGATATGTACAGAACCATAAGGAACCTCTTCGTTTGCCCCTAAAAATGGAAGGAACTTATATAACAAGTGAGCACAGCTATCAAAAGCCACCAAATTTTGGTCAGGAATGTAGATCTCTTGCAGACCCTGGGAGCTCAGATGATGATGATATGAGCAGTTTTGAGGAAGAACAAGAATTCTCCACAAGAGAAAAAAACTGTTTCCAATACTCAAAAGAACATGGAATTCCAGACAAGGTACAGCTGGCTCATCTGTCTTCTGTAATGTGACAGAACAAAATAGGGAAACTATCAAGTAAAGCATACTGAATTCCCGGGTTGTGTTGATATTGCCAAGATGACATACCTGGTTAAACCCAAGGTATTTTTGTATTCTCTCTAGGAAAACACTATCCACTTAAATTTTTAATTAAAAATTAAATTAGTAATTATTTATAATTAATTAATATAATTAAATAATATATTTATATAATTATATTATTAAATATTCTGAATTAATTATTCCTTAATTTAGAATTGTTGTAACTGTTTCCCCAACAAAAGTTTCAGTTTTAAAAGTACCTAAGTGGATGCTTTCCGAAACTAGTGAACCACACTGTGTTCCAAATGAAAATGTATGTGAGAACATGGAAATATGTATGGGCGTACTTTGCCTGCCTTTATTATGTATTTTAAATAAGACATGGCACTTGGTCTTTTTTAAAGTTTAGCGTATTTGTAATGCATATTAATCCCCCTATTCAGTAAGCTGAATTCTTAAACACTGTATGTACATGGAATATCTTTGAATTTAGCTTGTCTCCATTGGGATTATCTTTGAAATACACCTTCATTTTTTATTATCAATTAGCAAGGTCATTTTAAAATTAGTTCTTTATGTTTTAGTCTTCCTTATCAAGTAATTTCTATAAATAAATACTTAACTGAGTTTGAAAATACTATATTTCTTAAAATTTGTGGTAAACTGTCTTGTCAAAATAGTATCCTTCCTGTGAAATCAATTATATGTGGCATATCTAGGTTCAAATTTTGTGTGCATATGTTAAGCATTTTGGACTCCTGATGACTGCAACAGTAAAGTCCAGTCTGTAGCTAACTAGACTTTATACTGGTCTTTGACAATTTCATTGATTTTTCTATCTTTGCTTTGCCCTCACTCCACTTAGGTTGCCATTCAAAATTAATTGGTCCAAATTGTCTGGTCATTCTAATTATGGAGTAGAATTAATGACTTCATTTATGTAGTACATTTTATTGAAGCCCTCTCCCTGGCTAGCACATTCTAGACCTGTGGGGAGACAGAGTGGGCATATACACTCTTAAAGACCACCTGAAGTAATTTGGTGGGTGCCCACACTTCCTGAAAAGTCTTCCAAGAAGCGCATTAGATTGCAGTGATCATGGAGGGGATGAGGTTTTTTAATGCATCTCCCCCCTTTTGACTGCATTTCATCAGTTCTCTGTGTTTGTTTTTTCAATGGTCCTTTGGAAAAGAATCCAGCTGCTGGGAATAAGACAGTTATTCATAATGAGAAAAAGGGCACTGAAGACCCAGGAGATGCACATCTTCAGTGGCAGCTCAATCTCCTCACCCACATTGAAAACGTGCAGAATGAAGTCACCAGCAGGATGGATCTCATAGAAAAAGAAGTTGATGGTAACTTGACAAAGAACTAAAACACTAGTACTGAGTGTGTTTGTTAGTGCTTAAACATTGGAGTGAAAGCTGCCAATGTTTGCTATACTAACACAGCTTTCTCACTTTATTATGCTGTACTTAGCACATGTAGGGTCTTAGGGGCTTACGCCAAAGTGACCGGGTGTTATCTTAGTATATTTTGGTGGGGTTTGTATGTGTATGGTTTTTTTGGTTTGAGTAAGATATATAGATATTTATTAAACACTACCCACTTGCCTGGCTCAATATACAACATGTACAGAATATTCATTAGTTTCAGTGAACTTTATTTTGTTTGGAAGTCAGAACTGTATATGGAGTTTAAACATGTTTGAAATATGAAGAGAAAAATATTCTGTATATTCACTTTCATTAGTATTTGTTAAGTGGAATTAACAAACTCCAGTGAGGTTAAGTAGGTAGATCTTAAGTTGGCATGCAGATCTTCAGGTGGTTTTCTCTTACATTTTAATATTTTATTATCACACAGAAGCCCTAGAAAGTAGGCCAGAAAGAATAAGATGGATTACCAGATTCCCTCTCCAATCTTCACCCTATGCTTTCTGACTCCTGTTTTCTTTCTAACCTCATAGATTACATTGTGCTTCCCCCTTTATTGTTTTCTTTTTTGTCAAACCTTGTATTACTTTACTACTGTACTGAGTTGGAGCTCTCACTGCCTTTTCTTTTTCTTTTTCTTTTTCTCTTTTTTTTTTTGGTGCTAGGAATTGAACCTAGGACCTTGCACTTACCAGGCAGACACTGTGCTGCTGAGCTCTGTCCCTGGTCCACTACTGCCTTTCCTTGACCCTCGGAGAAGGGAAGAGATGGCCATTCATGTCAGAAGTATCTCCCATCAGTTTTTGTTGTATATATTTTGAGTAGATTTTTGAAGAAAAGAAAGTGCAACTTAAGACAATTCCATATTTTAGGGTAAATTTTTAAAGGAAAACAAAAAATGAATGTAATCAATTGCATTCTGCCTAGAATTTTAGTACACATTCATATCTTTAAAAAAGTAATGAAATAGTGGAGCTGAAAGGAACACTGAAAAATTGCCATCTCTTTTCCTTCTTTAAAAAGTAGAAATGATTCAAATTCAAACAGTAGAAAGCTTGAGCATGCATAGGAAACTATTGTTTCCTGTTCCACAAAAGGGTAAAAGGAGACATTCTGAATGAATTTAGTTTATATATATGTAAATATATAAAGGAAGAAATGCACCAGAGAAGTAGCTTAGTGGTAGATTACTGGGTTCCACCCCCAGCATCATTAAAAAAAAGAAGAAAAAGAAAATCATTTTAAATAACAGGTAAAAGTTATGGGGACGGACTAGAACTCTTGTTGAGTGGAAAATAAACAACCCTGAATCTGCCAGAAAAGGCTTGAGTGTGTTAGTCTTTAAAGGCAGGGAAGTGAACTCAGCTCCATCACAGCTTTCTAATTATACCATCTTTGAACTACTTTCCCAGATGCCATTTAAATATGTGTGTTGTCTTCTCTCTTACAGTTCTGGAAAGCTGGCTTGATTTCACAGGGGAGTTAGAGCCGCCAGATCCTCTTGCAAGACTGCCCCAACTTAAACGACATATAAAACAGCTCCTAATTGACATGGGCAAAGTACAACAAATAGCGACTGTTTGCTCTGTATGACAACAGTGATCACTTAATGAAAAGAATGTGGCTGTCTTCAGTGGAATCACTTTTATCTACATGATTGCTGAGTAGATGGTTAAAAAGCTTAGTAATGTTTGGTTAGTTGGTGCAATGTCAGTAGGATGCCACCTTGGAAAGGAAAATGAAGAGCAACTTTATCAAGGAAGCTAATACTAAAAAATATGTGAGCAAGCTGCAAATGATAATGTTTTATATGCCAAGGATGGATGAAGTAGAACATAATCTATACTAAGGGAATCAAATTGCCAGGATGTTTGAATAGTTGCTTCTCTGAAGTTCAAAACCTGTAGAAAGAAATACGATGTGTTTATGTAGTTTTTAGTAGAAAGATCCACATTTATGAACCAACATTTGGCCGAAAACAAAATGGTAAAGGAAAGTTAAATTCTGGAAAGCTCTACAAGGTTGCTGTAAGAACTGCCTTCTCAGCAGTTGGATCCAGCTGTGCGGAAGTTTAGGTTATTTAAACTTTTATAGGATCATGAGCTTTTTCTTGGGTGATAAATGTCCTTAATTGGAAAACCGGCATTAGAAATCTCACTCTTAGGGAAGCAATTGTGGAATTCTTCATTATGAATGTGTTTAGAAAACAATCACCAAATAATTGGAATTTATTGCAGGCATTAAGCTCATTAAAAACAAATTGGCTTGCAGAAGGGTCCGATGTGCCAAATGTTGATGATAACTGCTGGAAAGAAGATGTTAAATATTGTGGGATTTCTCCCACCCCCACATCTTGCATAATGCATCAGTCCAAACGAAACCTGTATCTCGCATGTACTATTTATATCAGATACATGGTTGAATGACAATATTCAGGCTTCGGTTTGCCACTTGGTCCTGGATATGCTTGGTGTTGCCTTCAGGAAAAATTACAAATAACCTCAGCTGGGATGAGGAGTGACAAAAGTATCAAAATAATTTGTGGCTGTGGATTTTTTTAACTGCTAGTAGTGAAATACTGGAAAAACTTCATTTCTGAAGATGAATTTTATTTTTAAAAAATATGTGTGCACTCAAAACTTTTAGCTTTGACCGCAAATGGACAGATATCTGAAACCAAAGGCAACTAAGTTGCTGTCTTAGCTATTGCTGGATTTTGAGCCTAGGTCCTACTGCGTGCCAGTCCTCATGTGAGTTGTATGTGCTCCCAGTGCTCCATTGCAGGTATGCATACATGTGTGCTTGTTTAAACTCTCAACATACATATGTACATAATTGACATATTTATATCACACATATCTAGTTTTATTACTATAGACTATATGAATTGGTGGTTAACATGAAATGTTACCTTTTAACAGACTGTTTTTAAAAATTAAAATGTATGTACAGGTTTTGAAATTTTTTTAAAAAGGGGAGAAAAGACTGTTTAGAGGAGGCTTTTTGATGACATATAACACTTGAATATTTTATGCCTCATTCTGTTTATCAGTTCTAGCAGTCTGTATAAATGCATTTTAGAACTGATAGACAATGAACTTGAATTTATCTTTGATAAGAATACATGCCACTGTACATTCAGATATTATTTAAATTTGCAAACACACTGTTCTATATGTAAGGTACTATATGTAAAACTCTTTATTAAAACTATTCCACATATCCTGAAATTTCAGCTTGCCTTTTTGCGGCCTTATATTTTCATGTAAAGATTAAAAGAATGTGCAACACTGTCAGAATTTTTATTGCCTTTTGAGACTCTCCAAGTTGACAAATGTGCCAAAGATCAATAGACATAAAATGTAGTTCTCTGTATTTGCTTGTGATACATTAACTTTGTTAAAGACCTTATAGATAAAAGCTTTAGCAGAGGTCATATTGTGGGGTAGTTGCTTAAATTTGCATATTAAAGTAAAAAATAGTGCCTATTTTCTATGTGTGGAGTAAATTTGATAATGTCTGTATTCTAAGATTGATGGTATACCTTTCATTTTATTTAAAAATAATGACTCTAACATGATTCCTGTCATAGTTAAAGTCTGGACATTGAATTTGCATCTTCTCTCTTTTAGAAATGGAGCAAATCATGGCATCTGTAATGTATGAATAGTGGTGTTGCCTAGATTCTTACCACACACACAGAAGACCTTTCATTCCCAGTAGTACTAGTCTTCTCCATTGCTGGTGGACACAGCTAAATTAATGGACACTTATAGTACAAGTTGGGCATCCTTAACCCAAAAGCCTGAAATACTTCAAAATGAGAAGCTTTTTGAGTACTGAGAGATGCTGCAAGTAGAAAATTCCACACCTAAACCCCAGTGGCAGATCACAATCAAACTGCAGGTTCACTAAAAATACTCTATATACTGAGCTTCGGGCTGTGTGCATAAGGTGTGCATGAAACATAAATGAGTTTCAAGTTCAGATTTGGGCCTTATCCCTAATATGGTTCATTATCTAAATGCAAATATTCCAGACTCCCCCCACCAAAATTCAAGCTCCAAAAGATTTCTGGTCCTAAGCATTTCCAATAGTATACTAAATTCATATCTTAAAATTAGATTACTTTGTTAGCAGGCTGCAAATTGGAGTTTCATCCATAATTACGTGAAGTTTTACTCTGCTTACATGTATATGAATTGGAAATCTAATCTTCAGATATCAAATTATTTATATGCACATGCCCATCCAGCAATTGGCTAAAGCCTTTTAGGAAATAGTGGGCTGAGCCTTTCATTTTTTGAGAGAATAAATTAGTTTTGGAAAAGCAAGTTCATTGTGAGAAGCATCGATGAGTTGTTTTTCCTTTTAGTCTTTCTTTTTATAAATCACTATATATTTAAATACAGGGATAAATTAGAGAATGTTTCTTGAAGAGGTGGTATTTTATTTACCATTCAGACGAAGTAGAATGAGCCTAGATGGGGAAGGAACCCTCTTAGTATAGTACTGATAAATATAATTTGTACTTCCTCCTACTTGTTTGTGGTTTTTATTTTTGCACTTTTAAGAGCAATTTGCATACTTTTTTTCTTAAAGGAACTTCGTTATTCTTATAGTTTTTGGTAAAACCACTTTCCTAACACTCACCTTCACTGACTTGCTTCCTCTCAAGTGTTTCTATTTTGCTTTGTTCAAAATGAAGCATACTATTTCCCTTCCAATAAACCGAATTGCCTGCTAATGTCACTGTCTCTGCTAATAGCAGTTACTTGGAGCCCAGGCTTGAAATTCTGAGTTATGCCTCACCTCCATTTCTCCACCAGATGTGATTTCTCCAAATGAATGATGTCCTCCTTTCTTCCTCAGTCTCACTGGGAACCCACCATTTTTCATAAACTGATTCCATGAAGGTATTACAACTGGACTTTGTCTTCATCCTAATTTGTCAAATTGTCACTGCAAGACTAGGGGATTAATGCTGGATAAGTACCTGCTGAGTCCTTGGCATTACACATGTTACCTGCATTATCTAACCATTTAAGGAGATAAAAAACACCATTTTTAAAAATGAGGGTGCTGAGATTTAGAAACATGTCTTGGATAAGATGTAAGGTGCAGGTTCAGGATTCAAATCCTGTGCTACTCGAGTTAATGACATTATCATTTTTCTTTTGTAAACCTATTGGACTCCCAGTTACAAGCCATATTTGGTCTGTTTCTGTCTTTTGCAATTTACACATTCTCAAGTTCATGTAAATAAGAGTATATCCTGAAGGCTGCTTATTTCCAGCTCTTAGCTTTATATTATTTCTCTGTTCTGCAGAATTGTCCCGCGCTTGTGTCTCTAAACCCAATCAGATTTTAGTTTCTCTTCCTATGAGAGGCAATTATTGTTGAAGCCTTATGGTATCTGACATTGTACCATGCTGGAGAGGAACTACATTGGTGAATAATAATTTGATATAATGGAACAGGCTTGAACTTTACAATCCTGTCCTTGAATTGTCCCTCTAGCATTTACTACCAGTGTGATCTCTGTGCTTTGGTTTCCTTGCAAAGGGAAATAATACCTACCTTGGAACCCTGTTTAGAGAGTTAAAACGAATGAAGTGCCTGAATGTTCCTGTGTATGAAACAGATTGGGAATTCACTGGACATACTGAGTGTCATCCTGTATGCTAGCTGTGAAGTCAGGGATTGAGAGTGAATATAGAATTAATGTTAAGATCACAGTCTGTATGCTAATGAAAACATAAACGTTTTCCAGTGAAAGTAAAAGAGGCCAAAGAAAGGAAGATAATTAACCCCTCCATTGTATGTGGAAGGGTTTCAGGAAATAGATGATGTATATTAATTTAAAAAGTGATCTCTGACTGTCACCTAAAAGGATTTGGAACAATTGCTACCCATTCCTCATAACTGTTGTCTTTGAGTACCCTTGAAAGTAGAGCTAGAGACAAGACTTAAGTGTACTTACTTTCTTAGAGAGCAAATCTAAGAAAGCTAAGCAAAGGAAATGTAATGAGGAGAGGAAAAATAGAATAAAAATATGCATAATTGAGGTCACTACTACAGGCAGTGAGCCTCTGAATCTTTCATTTGAAGTTCACAAATTTAATTGCAAAGGGTGTGGTTTCCAATTTGTAAATATCTACATATTAAAAGCAGTGAATTACATCATTTTAAAATGGGCACTTCAGAATCTAAATGTGGCTTGGCTATTTACCAACATCTACCTAAAAATACATGAGCAATCTTATTTAGAAATTTGATGTTTTCAATGAATTTTATTAGTATATGTTTGAGTATATAATATATTCATCATGGGGTGTTGGTACGTATACACAGTACAATTTGATCCTATTTACTTCCTATTTTCCTCTGTTCCCTCCCATAACCCTTCCCGTTTCCACAAAGTTTGCCTGTTTTCCATCTTTCTCTTTATTTTGCTGTTTAAATTATTTATACATTGAGTTTCTCATGTAAACCTGTGTCAAATTCATTTTACTTAGAATTATAAACTCAAGATGCATCCATATTCCTATATATAATTTAAATTTATCCTTTACAGCTGATGTCACACATACACACACAGACACATACATAGATATATTCCACCAAAAAATGTATATATACTTAAGCAGTTCACTGTACTAATAAATATCTGGAAACTAATGGCCACCACTTTGAGCACCTCTTGTAACTGTAGAGGCCAAAGGTAACTTCTGTTAATCTCATGATGTCTCAATACATTTAGTATCAAAATATTTATGCATGTTTTTCTTTTCCTGGTGTATACCCTTTTAGCAGTATCTCTCCATATATATGTGCATGTGTGTAAAATATATAGAGAGAGAGACTTGTATGTATATAGAGATAAAAAATGTGTACACAGTTCAGTAAAAGAAAAACATGTAAATATTTTAATACTAAATTTATTGAGACATCATGAAAATCCTTACATGCATGTGGACAAAGCGGTCAGTTTCCTAGGAGTCAGTGTTTGGTGTATAATGAAACATTTATACAAGTTTTTCTTACATAAGTTACCTTCTTGCAGTTTATATTCTTTTGACAGACTGTATGTATATGAATGAAGATAACCAAAAGAAGTATATGTGGGTCAAATGGAATTTCTATTTTTAGTGTTTACAAGATTCACTATACTTACTTCTGTAGTGGTGGTGCTAGTTTATTTTCACACCACCAATGTAGAAGGGTTCCTTATTTCCTACAGCCTCACTAGCATTTGTTGTTTTTGAGTTTTCAATGATAGCCATTCTTTCTAGAGTAAGATGGAATCTCAATGTTGTTTTGATTTGCGTTTCTCTTATGAACAAAGGTGCTGAACATTTTTTTCATATGCCTACTGGCCATTTGTATTTCTTCTGAGAAGTGTCTTAATTTCAATGTCTTGTTGTTGGGTGTTTTATTTGGGGGGATCTAATTTTAGGGGATTCTTTATGTATTCTAGATATTAGTCCTCCAAGGAGTAACTGGCAATTTTTTTTCACATTCTGTAGATTGTGTCTTCACTATTCCTTTGCTATACAAAAGCTCTTTAATCTGATATAATCCTATTTGTTATTTGTGTTTTTTCTCACGCAGTTGGGGTTCTTCTCAGAAAGTCCTTACCAGTGCTTATGTCTTTTTTTTTTTTTTTTTTTTGGTTTTTCCCCGGTACCGGGAACCGAACTCACGACCTTGCGCTTGCCAGGCAGGCGCTTTTGCCGCTGAGCTAAATCCCCAGCCCCAGTGCTTATGTCTTGAAGAGTTTTACCTGTTTTATCTTCCTTCTGTTTCATTGAATTAGTTTTTATATCTAGATCTTCAGTCCATTTTTATTTGATTTTTATTGTGGAATGTGAGATGTGGGTATCTACCGTATTCATTCTTCTGCATATAGATAGCCAGTTTTTTCCAGCGTGTTTTGTTAGAGGCTTGTTTTCCTCCAGCATATATTTTTGGCTTTTTTGTTTAAAATCACATGACTGAATGTATCTGGGATTGTTAATGCAGCCTCTATTCTTTTCCATTGATCCATGATGTCTCATTTTATGCCAGAGCTGTGCTGTTTTTATCACTGTAGCTTTGTAACATAACTTGAAATCTGGGATTGTGAGGCCTTCTGCTTTGTTCTTGCTGCCCAGGATTGCTTTTGGTATGTGGCCTCTCTTCTGGTTCCATATGCACTTTGAGATAATTTTCTCTAGTTCTGTGAGGAATACTGTTGGTATGTTGATTGAGACTGTATTAAATATATTAGTTTTGTTAGTATGTTTATTTTGATAATATTGATTCTACCTATCCAGAAATGGAGTATCTTTAAATTCTCTAATATTCTTTTTAAAATATTAATTTTTCTAACATTCTCAGTTTTGCTGTAGAGGTCTTTCACTTCCTTGGTTAGGTTCATTCCTAAGTATTTAATTTTCTTGAGGCAATTGTGAATGGTATTGTTTTCCTGATTTCTTTCTTGGTTAGATTCATTACTGACTTACAGGAATGCTATTGATTTTTGTGTGCTGATTTTGTATCCTGCTATCTTTCTGAATTTATTAGTTCTAGGAGTCTTTTGGTGGAGTTAGTTGGAGCCTCTATGTAAAGGATCATGTCATCTGTGAATAATGATTGTTTTGACTTCTCTAATATATACATTGTATATACCCCCCCTTTTTTTATATACATTGTATAATACCCCTCCCCCCTTTTTTTGCCTCATTGCTTTGGTTAAGGTTTTATGTACTATATTGAAGAGGAGAGCCAATCATGGACATCTCTATTTTGTTCCTGATTTTAGAGGGAAAAGTTCTGGCTTTTTCCAGTTTAATATATGTTGTCATTAGGTTCGTCATAAATGACTCAGCCGATTGAGATAATGTCCTTCTATACCTGTTTTCCTCAGGATACTTTTTAAGTCATGAGTGGATGTTGGATTTTGTCAGAGGCCTTTTATGTATCCATTGAGATGATGATACGGTTTTTCTCCTTCTGTTTATGTGATGTACTATGTTTATTGGTTTACATATGTTGAACCATTCTTGCATTACAAGAATGAGGCCTACTTGGTTAATTATGTATACTCTTTCTAATGATTTGTTATGTGTTGTTTGCCAGTATCTTGTTGAAGATTTTTGCATCTATGTTTATTAGAGAAATTCACTGGTAGTTTTTTTTAGTTGGGTCCTTGCCTGGTTTTCAAATAAGGTAGTTTTATCGTTCAGGAATGAATTTGGCAGTACTGCTTCTCTTTCAGTTTCATTAGAGTTTGAGGAGGGTTGGCATTAGATCTTGCCTGAAGTTATCAGCAGTGAATCCTTCTGGTTCT